TTAAGTTTGGCGGTTTAATTCGGAAATATTTTGTATATATGTGTATATATATGTACAACTTGATCAATATTAATAAATAATAATATGTATAATTATAGCACTGTGCCAAAATAAAAGCGAAAGTATGCAAAAAATATTCTATTTAAGCAAAAAATTCTAGGTAAAAGAAATCTTTTGTTGAATCGGAGTTTCTGCTTGAAATAGAGATTTTCTTTTCTTTAAGGAAAAAGTGAAATTATGTCTCGTATTTACAATTCAATTGTAAATAACATTATTTCGAGAATATTTATAAATAAATATATTATTAGTATATTTATAAATAAATATTTATAAATATTTATAAATAAATATATATTTTAAGAAGAAAACTGAGAGACACGATTTCATAATTAAATCAGACAATCCAGTCCTTATAACAGAAAACTGATCTTTGTTTGCCCAAAAAATTGTATTAACCAGTGTAAATATAGAACGGCTGAATATTCGTCGATTATTCAAACGTTCCGTTTTGTCACTTTTTTTTAACCTTCAGTAGATCGTGATAACGACACGAACCACGTAGCGCGAAGAACCGTCGATATAATGTATCAAATAAACCATGTAAATTTTTTTCCCTGCGAAATCAGTCGTCGCGCGTTGGAAATGTCTGTGGAAGAAAAGAGGAGGAAGACTAAAAAGATTAAAACGGTGAGCGAGAAGGACTGACAGCACGGTGCTGTTGGCGAAGGAGGAGATGGCGAGATTGGAGGACGAGAATAAAGTGCTGAAACGCGACAGGGCGGAATATGAGAGTCGGAGCCTCGCAGCGAGGCGCAACAACCTTTAATAGAGATTCGTTCCTTACTTTGAACCGTAACTTCGACACTGACGACAACGACAATTCCGCATCATTCACGAGATCAACCGACGTCTCCGGCATTGAGCTTCGAGAACGTAGAAAATAAAGCGAATTGTAAGAAAAGCGCGAAGCAAAAAAAGCTCATGAAAAATTCGAAACAACAAAGTCGACGAGATAATAGAGGGAGAAGGTTGCCTTGTGTATATAACTCGTGAGCTTTGTATAGCTGTAATCACATTCGATACGAAAGCTTTCGGATTTCAAAGTGCTCAGAAAGCTGAAACCTCTCATATACTATAATAATGTCTCTTCGATATAAATAGCTAATAAAATTGAACTTTTGTTGTTATTATTATATTTACTACAATAATACCAGACATAGTAATGGAATGAATTCCTGTACATATTTCTCTTATAAACATAACTACCGAAAAACTTAAGTATCTTTCAAAGTGACAAGAAGAAAAAATGAGAAGAAGAATCCGATGAACTGGAATTGAGATAAAGTTGTAGCCATAAATTTTAAGAAAAGGTATTAATAGTAACTATAATGACTTTTTTATATATAAAAAAAGTAAAAAAGATAGAATAGGCAAGTATCAAACAGGAGCAGCCGAAAATATAGTTCAACGTGCCGTTCTTCGTAATGCTTGCTGACTGCGTGCGAGATTTAAAGGTCGTCGTCCCTCGAATCGATCCAGAAACTTTCCGAAATCTGCGACAGCAATGCATCTTGTGCGGTTATGCTGGCTTCGTTCACCACGTGTATACGTTCGTCACGAACCGCGGTTGTATTTACGTACAATATCGCAAGAAGCAAAAGGAGTAGTACAGTGTAAAACAAGCGGAGTCACAGTAAAACAATGTGAATCTAGCAAACTAATCAACACTGCAATATGTCTGCTGATAATAAAACTACATATGTTACACGAAGAACTGTGAAACGTACAAATTGAGTTGACCAATTAGTACCATTAATAAGTTGCATTAATTTATTACGAGCAGAGTATATGCTTTACTGAGATTGTAATATCAACAAGTTACCCATTTTCATTATTTCTATCAGCCAATTATCACGTTAATTAAATGCAACGGTCAGCAAATGCAGCACATTTGTACATGTATAATCGTACATGTATTCACTTCTTTTATGATACATCTATCCGCGCAGGATATGTATAAATAATGTAAAATCCATATAATCCACAATATATATCATAAAAATTCGAGACAGAGGAAACAAGACACGAGAGATGATAGCGAGCTTATTGGAGAAATCCGATTATCTCCATCTAGTAGGATTTAAATTACATCAGATTTGTACGACTTTCGAGCAATTTTTCACGCTCGGAGATTTAAAGCAAAGCACATTCAAAAACCGAAGTAAAAATTTAATGCAAAAACGGTTTTTTTTTCTTATTGTATTCCATGGCTTAAACTTTCAGTAGTTTATAATGGACATTTGTGACTCTGAAAAAAAATTAGCTTCGATGCATTCGAGGAGTTCTCTCATTCAGATGTTTTTATATCAATCTTGAGGAGCGTTTTCGCAATGATAAATTTATTTTAATTGAAATAATTCACGATTATCTATGAAAAGAGAGAGAGAATACTGCATATTTTATGTCAAGATGAAAGTTTCGTTTTAATATCATTGTCACAAATTCCGTAACTATCGAAGAAAAGCGCTCAGAACTGTTCCCCAGATTCGTCTGTAATCTTGATTCGCACGGAAACAGCAAAGGAGGCCGTTGAACCGTATGGACTAATGAGAGTTTGGAGATCAGAGTTAAGTCTGATTGCTTCGGGATTCGGAAGTCTATCATCGTCACGCGGCCTCCAAAGGGACTCGAAGGGAGCGAGAGGAAGGATATAGGTTTGATAGGCCAAGAGGATATCGGATGCAGCATCCACGGTAAGCCTCGCCGCGCCGCCCGCGCCGTCGCGTCGTCCGAGCGGACAATGGGCCCCGTAAAATCGTGTGAATTAGTAAAGGGCCTCTCTAGCCGAGGGAATAATCGGGAAGTGACTAGATAAGATCTCTCTGTTTGGTCCTGCTCTCGCGGAAAAGCAGGATCGTAAAGTGCGGCGTGCGCGCGCGTGCGTGGTGCGCGGGTCGTATTGTAAATTGATAGCGATAAAATCTACTCATCTCTCTTTCTCTATCTGAGCTGGTGGACGAAGGGAGGGTCGGTATCGTTTGGTCTCACGGAGACAGCGAAATGGCGAGATTATTTCAAAGCGTATCTCTCCTCTCTCGGGGTCTCATGCGATTTCGCTGGATCTCCATCGTGCGTTCGCGTGCCGCGACGTCTCCGCGTTTTTTTCCCGTTTTCCAAGACACCGCAATCGATAGTAGAACAGGGATGGATGTCGCGTTTTCGAAATCATGAGTAACATATTCAAAGATCCCTCTAACATCCTTCTAATATCGCTTCTCTTATTCTATGCGACATGCAAATTTAAAATATAATAATAGTGGTTTCTAAATGAAAAATTATACTACGCAATCTTTCAGTTGAGGACTGATAGCTTAAGTTTCGTTCAGCTTCCACGAAGATCCGTCTCTGTGCGGCGAAGGCGTGTGCGCGGTCTCTCGAGAAGGTGGAAGAAGGAAAAAGAAGAGCTGATTCGGAGCCGCAGACAGCTCCTTTGCGATATCTATCTGTGCAAATATTAGGTGAATCCGAAGAAGCGAAAAGAGAGGCCGTCCCGATGTTTTCATTTAATATCCGCCGTAGGTCCGCGCGGCCCCGCGCCGGCTGCCAACCGGCATTCAGCGGAAAGATTGCGAGAGTCATTTCCCGTGACTAGCGTGGAGATGTTGCCTTTGAGATAGCCCACTCCGGAGCAATACGAAGGTATGGATGCCGGCGCGCGCTGGGAGAGGCACGCTCTACTTGCTCCCGACAGTTCTCAAACCGATGCGATAGCGCGCGCATTAAGTATAATTTATGCTTCTAAAGATTGAAGCGAGACGACGGGTATAGATATCGCTGTATTTACCTTTTAAGGAAGAAGACTGATAACTATTATGATGGGCAATTGTCCGAAAATACGGAGAGATTTTTTTTACAGGGAGGAACGATAATTGAATGAATTTAGAGAACGGTTTTGACAGGCCAAATGACATATGAGCACAAAAATCTTTACGTAAATTATTTACATAGTATACATGGCCTATCCCAAATGTAATGAGACTATTTTTGGCGGCCTAATCAGAATTGTCGGAGAGTGAATCTATTGAACGGGGATACCATCAGCAAGGTGCGCTGTAACTTTTGTCACGGGCGAAAATTCAGCACAGTTCGATCGCAGCCATCAAATTCTGCGTGAAACTGGGAAAATCTGGTTCCAAAACGTTGCAAATGTTAAGAACAGCTTATGAGAACGCTGTTTTGTCTTCAGAATTACATCGCGTAACACTGCTGAAGACTGTGTTGCATTTTCGCCCACACAACATGACAAGACACAAAAATTACCACGCACTTTGATGACGATATCGACTGCTAGAAAGGCTCGGAGGCAACTGAGGAAGGTCAGACTGTATACCTAACATTCTGTACCAAAGGCCCCATTCAATAGATTCACCATCCGATTTTGATTAGGTCACCAAAAACAGTCTCATTAAGTACTTTTAGGACAGTCCATGTAGTAGATCAAGCATACCATGTGCCAGACACTAGTTTAGTGATAACAGCGTGCGAGAGAGAAACGTATACAATTAAAATAATAATAAGTTTCTATTCTCCTTTTAACAAAAGCGCTATATGAGAGAGAGAGAGAGAGAGAGAGAGAGAGAGAGAGAGAGAGAGAGAGAGAGAGAGAGAGAGAATTAATTACGTTTCTCTCTTCTCTCACACGTGTCGATCAGGTTTCGTGTTAGATTTATTTATACTATATGTCTATGTGTTTATCCCTACAATTCATTTCTCTTTTGCACAATTGCTAAACAATAATAATATCAGTGATAAGCATAAATAGCGTAAAATAGATAAAAAAGTGCACGCTCACGTGTTTAAAGAAATTATTGTTCTGCATTTTTAAGTGCACATACATGTTCAGTATATAAGTTGAGCAATTGTCGAAATGACTCACTTAAAATTAATGAGCTATATGTGACTATATAAGAAGATCCGACAGTTTCCTCTTTAGAGTTCAAGAGTATTTTTCTTTCTCAACATTTCTACATATATTATTTCTACACACACGAATTTCTTAAATAATCAATTAAAATGAGACAACTGATCGTGGCCTTCTGCTTGGTGCTCCTCGCAATGATTTCAGTCTCGGCCCAGATAACGAACTGCTCTAGTTTCATTAGGGAAGTAAGTATCGTTTTAATGATATTATGTTGAAACTGTAGTATGTAATATGTGCATATTCAACTTTTTATATTATTAGGAGATAAACTTAGTTTCTGCCATTTTTTTTCTTAAAAAACGCATTTGTTTCAACAAAAATATGAATTAATGCTATAGTCAAAATATTTTCCTTTGTTTTCTACTACGTTTTCTCATCTTTCTGGCAAAAGTTAGATTCCGCGACGATACGAATGAACTTTTAAAACAAGCCATTTATTCACCCATTTTCTGACTTGTTCGTAATTATTATAGAAGAGTGTGTATCAGCGAGCGCATGTTGCACCGATCGGAAAAGATGGTAATTCGATGGAGTCAAGTCTAGAGAATAGATTGAGTGTAGGAGAACTTCCTATTCAAAACAATTGTAACAACATTTCTTTCACAGTTCTTACAGCATGTGGTCGCGCGTTGTAAAAGAATCACTTTCCGTCGATTACTGGCTGTGTAAACATTTAGAAACAGCCATAAGAGTACAAGTAACATTTAACACTTGACAATTCTTTGAGTGTTTGAATTAGATTTTCATTAATAATGCTTGCAATTAAGCATCCTCAAACTTTTTTTGGCTACCCTAAACATTCTTTGTCTTTTACATTGAAATCACCACTTTTGAATTGTTTAAATCAGTCTCTATATGTTTTTTCTGATGAAGCTTATTTACCATAAGTTTCAGAAAGCAATCAATGCATTTTAGTGCACTGCAGTTTTCTTTAAATCAAAGTAGTAAAGAAGTATACATATCGAAAAAATCACTTATCACCATTTACTTTAAATCGATTTAAAAATATCATTGCTTTCACAGCAATGAACCTTTGCGCACTGAATTTTATTGATAGATGTCTAACTTTCAAAAGACAACCAACTTTAGCTGCTAAAGCTCGTTACTTTTTCAGCTAAAGTTATCTATACTTGTGAGCAAAAACTAAGTTTCACCTAATAATTTATACATATATCTATATCTGCCTCTTTTTTGAGTCAGTAAGTATCGTTTTAACAATATTACATTAAAACTGTAATATACATATAATACATGCACATTCAAATCTTACATTAATTTATATACATATATATTTATATCGATTAAATTATTTAATATAACTTAATAGTATATGCTTTTAATAATAAATTCTAATTTAAAAGACATAAAATTGATAAGTTACATAAATTTTTGAAAGTATAACCAGTAAGAAAGGTAGTGACATTTAATCTACTAGATCGTTATTTATATTTTATATATTTACATGTATATTTTTGTGTTAATCTGGTATGTTAAAATGAAAATTAGGAAATTAGGGGAAATAAAGCCAATAAACTTGTAAACACAGACATTGTAATATAACTGTATAATTTTATTCGATAATTAAAGCGGAAGCGTTTCGACTTTACTAATTGTAAGTTTTCTTCAGCCATCAATACAAATTTTTAAATTTTAATTAATTACATTAATTCTAGTCGGAGAGCACGCAACCTTTCCCTTTTGACGTGAGTCAGGGTGTCCAAGACGCTAAAATCAAGATTGTTGTTCGAAATCATCGTTATTCACCTTTTTCCTTGAAACCTTGGCAATTAAATTTGATTACTAATGAGTCAACCGCAAGATCTTTGGTCAACCTTCCGTCGGCAACTGGCGAGATCCCCCTTGGTCAATGTCTTTTAACAATGTTCGACAATAATCGATAGTATCAATTCTTTCAACGGATTGATTTTTTCCAAAACTCATTGTCTTAAATTTCAATTACATTTCTGCAAGAATATCAAAGTAACAACTGTCCAACAATTCTGTATCTGTGTTTAAATTTATTCCATTTTCTTGTTCTTTTATGTATATCATTTCTGATATCAGTCTTTTAAAATAATTAGTTTTAATATCTAGTATTGTACTGTTTTCTCAATCGAATGTATGGTTTAACTTCGACGTATATATATGTTACCGAGTACTTTGAAGAATCTAATCTGGAGTTGTATATCTGTTCTTTTATTCTGGTTTTCAATCGTTTTTTGTTTGACCAACATATGATCTGTGGCAATCCTTATAATTTATTTTATAAATTACATTATTGCTCTCTGTCAAGTTATTTCTATCTTTGTGTGTCTTAATAAACCTGCTGAGTTTGTTCAAACATCTATAATTCGCTATATATTCAGATGCATTTATTGCTGATTTTACCATTTTTGCGTTTTTTTTATGTATGGAAAGACCAAAAATGTTTCTTGCATTTTCTGATGTATCTGAAGAGATGTATTTTCTCTGTCTCTATTGATTCTGTTTTTAGTGTTTAATTTGAAATTGGATAACTTCTTTAATTTCGTATTCTTTTTAGAAAATGGATTTCAAAAGATAACCCTTTTCCAATGTAATTTTTTCCAATAAAATATTAATACTAATTCCAAATTTTTTTGGTGAAACTTTTGGTGTGACAATAATGTAGCACGGTCTACTAAACTATCAATACTATCGTTTGTGTTGATTGTTGTCGATTATTGACATTGTTAAAAGATGTTAACAAGGGGGATCTCTCCAATTGCCGGTGGGGCGTTGACGAAAGAGGACTTCGTAGTTGTCAGTAATTGACCGACCTGTCAGTAATTGAATCTAACTGCCAAGGATCAAGAGAAAAGATGAATAACAATGATTTCGGACAACAATCTTAGTTTTGAGTGACTTGAACACTGTGACTCACAACGGAAAGAAAATGTTGCGTGTTCGCCGACTAGGATTAATGTATTAATTATAATTTGAAGATTTATATTGGCGACTAAAGAATAGTAAAGTATAATCCGAAATATTTCGCTCTTTAATTTTACCTTATAATTACCTTATAAAAATAAAATTATATAATTATATTACATTTGTGTTTGCTCATTTAGTTTGGCCTCTAATTTCTATTTTATTCTAAAATACGAGCCTGCAGTTAAAATTTTTTATTTGTATATTAAATCTGTTCTTACATCTCTGTACTCCGAGTTATTCAGTTTACATATTTGTAAAAATAATTGTCTATTATGATTTACATTCAAATCTTGTTATATTTTCACTACTTAAAATATTCAAAATGTGATATTTTAAGTAGTGAATTTTAAGTAGTGAAGAAAATGTGATACAAAAATACCTTTTACTTTTTCCTCATTCATTTGTGAATATTTTAATTTTCGTATAAAATATTACAATTTAAATATTTTAAGTAATAAAAATATAACAAGATTTGAATATAAATCATAATAGACAATTTTTTTTATAAATATGTAAATATGTCAATATGGATTGAAAAAGTACGTTAATAAGTTAAATAATTAAGTTATATGTTATGAAAAACATCGTGCAAGGCTATAATTTCGCGTAATTTTTTTCAGTGCAACGGTACCCTTCCCTGTTGTAATTCTACAATACCACCTTTTCATACTCTGAGATGCGTATTTGGTTTTTGCCTGTATAAATAAACTATAAGAATGGAAGAAACATTAAAATAATCTAGCAGACTTGAGAGATGAAAGTAGATCAGAAGAACCTGCCGCATAATTTATAAATTTTAGCTTGATTCTTCTATAGAAAAACTTACACAATTCAAACTTTGATATACAATATTATGTTATAAAAAGTTTATTCTTGATTTATTTTGCTTTAACAATCAGATGATCTCTTGACACAGAACAACACAGTTTCCAAAATATTTAATATTAAAGCTTAATAATTTTGTGTATGTACAAATCTTTATATTAGAGAAAAAGTTCCAATAATCTTAACCTTGACTCCTCTATATTGTCAAGAATTGTCTTTAGGAACAATTAAAAGGCCGACGATTGTCATTTAAGAAGTTGTTAATAAATAAAATAAGATAAAAAAAATATAAAAATGTGTTCAATTCCATAATTTGAATTTTATCCAGTGTAAAATATTCGGGAAGGAGGATGTCGGTACATATGGAATAATCACTTTATTTCGGTAATACAAATTCATTCATCAATTCATTTACAGCTCAGGATCGACTGCCTAATTCTCGCAAGTTACCGCTGTACGTTTATATCAACTTTCGATTACACACTTCATCTTTACTAGTGTAAAAATGTAAATAATGCGATATTTATTCTAGTGAATAAATATCACATTATTTACATTTTTGCATATTTAAGTGAATACATAAACGAGGTAGATTCCGGCCTTACCCCCACTTTGAGGAAACATAATATAACTCAAATTACCTATTTCTGATTTAAAACTAAAATTATAGATTTGCATTAGGTTATACTTTTGTAAAGATACGAGTAAAAATGAAGAGCTTTGTTCCTTCATTGCATTTACTTTGCAATAAAAATACAATCAGTAAATTAGTGCGTATAATAATACACTAATGTGTACAGTATGTAACAAAAATAAATGAAGAGCCGATTTAGAAACAAAAATTCAAGTATATGGTAAAACAATAATTAAACATTATGAAATAATATGTTTATTTCTATTAACAAAGATGACATATTAAATAAAATAATCAATTACATTTTAATTAACAGTAGAGATATTCATGGAACAAATTATAAATCCGTAAACTACTTCGTTATATACGTTATGTAAAGTAAGTAAATATTTGTATAAGTGGTAATCGTTACGTAATGACATTTTTAAAAGAATGTCTGGAATAGATAATAAATATTTCTTACACTCATTTAATGAAAATTTTTGTCACTCTTCATCTATAAATGCTTCAATTCTTAATATTCTTCGGTTGCTTTTCTGTAATTTTAAATTTCAATATTGTCCACGTGTTTTCAATTGGTGAAGTCTGGACTTTGCGGTGGCTATTCCTATAAGACGCTGACATTAATATTTTTTTAAAAATATTAGTTGCAATTTTAGCTTTTTATATATATTATTGATGCATTATCTTGCTAATATAAAATCTGCATGTCTGATTAAACGTAAGTATATTTAAATATACTGTTGCATTAACTTTGTCATTTAAAATAACAGTTTTTCCTGCTCCAAAAGCCGAAATACATTTCAAAACTATAACATCTTGATTCTAGTGTTGGTTTACACATTTGTACAGTAAGATTATTCTTCTTTCTTCATGCAAACATTCTTCTATATTTCATTCAAATCATTGATTCGTTGGTCCAGAGAATTTGTTTCCAAAATGATATAGATTTTAACACGTGAAGATAATAAAAATCCATTTCTTTTTTTAAATTAGAGTGATCAAATATGGTACTTTTTTGTCTACTATGTTTCTTTGTATCATGTAAGCGCCATCCAATATATGACTGTGTTATCACTGTACGTTAGCAGTGTACTAGAAAATATACAATTATACTTACGCAATATCTTATGCAATAATATTATATGCAATTACGTCCTGTATTATATTGGATAATTTACAATTGAAGCATAACTAACAAATTAAGAAAATATAATATTGATCGAATAATTTTAAATAAATATTTTAAATAAACCATTCAAATGTTGACTAATTTAAAAAATATATATATACGAAATACGAGAATATTGTATTGTATGCCTTATCAAGAAAACAATTATAACGAAGTTTTAAGCAATAAAACATGCAAATGCTTTTATCTGGAATTGACAAAAATTACAAAAGTACGAAGAACTTTTAAGATATAAAGCATGATAAAATATCAATTCTATATTTTTCTGATAAATTCTTGACGAAAAATTAAAAAAAGAACTATAGTATTTAAAAAATATATAAATTATAAACGTTTATCTAAAAATTTCATGTTTTTAAAAAATTTATTAAATCGAGTTTAATAATAAGTGCATTTTAATATTAATGGTTAGGTTATTATAAAGTCTAAATTATTTATATTGAAGTTAAAATATCTTAAATATAATATTAATTTTGAATTTTGTTTAAATAAATTTTGATGACTGTTAGATGCATCTATTAAAGGAGTTCATGTATTTTAGCAATATTTAAACGATTTGTTACTCAAGTTTACTTGTTGAATCCAAAAATCGTAGTTAAAATTGTCCTAGTATTCGGAAAACATTTTTTTCACATTTTAAACAGAAAAAAGCAACAATTGATTTGATCACATTATTGAACCATGTCTGTGAATTTCTCTTTGTTTTTTATAAAAATATGTTTTGATGTTACCTAAGTCCTTATTTTTTTTATCAAAGCTTGAGAACTTACAAGTTACCTTTAGTTATATATACATTTTAATTTTTGCATCAAAATATCTCAAAAAGTATGAAAAATACGAAAAAATGTTTCTGATAAAAGTTATACAATCTGAAGGGAGACAAATAGTGGTGAAAATAATTTTCAAAAAAATCAATTATTCAAGGTCACATGGAGGTCACTTTTTTTTAATGATATGATTGTTTTTAAATATAATATGATTTTTCTAATTATTCTACATATAAAGGTGTTAAAGTAAAGTTATCAAAAAATTAATACTTTAAAAGATATTTAATACTTTATCATGCCGTATATATTTCAACATAATACGAAATATCTAATAAATTATTGATTTTTTGCTAATTGTACTTTAATACTTTATACACAAAATAATGAGATTAATGAGACAAATCGATTGGATTAAAAAAAACACTCAGTAGCTTTTTAAAAAATATACGCAATTTGCAATATAGAATTATATATTTTCTTATGGATATCGCGCGTGCTGCGAAAGAGAGCACGCTCTACTTACTCCCGCGACAATTCTCAAATCGACAAGATAGCGCGTGCATTAGGTATATAATTTATGCTTCTATTGAAGTGAAACGACTGATATCGCTGTATCTATCTTTCAAGGAAGAAGGCATGATGAATAATTGCCCGAAAATATGAAGAGATTTACTTTTACAGGGAGGAATGACAATTAAATGAATTTAGAGAAGGGTTTTGACAGGCCAAATGACACACGAGCACGTTACATAGTAAACTTTCTAAAATCTGTTCAAAATCACCTTTTTAAAAGAAGATAAAAAAATGATATCAAGTACATACGTACCATTGTACTTAAGCTCATAAAACAAATTGTCGTATTAAATTAAAAAATAAAAACCAAATGATACTATGTCTTTTCATTTTCATGCAATAAAAAATCAAGAAAGTGCAAATTAACTTTCTTGCATGCGCTGTAACAACCACGGCACTGCTGACGAAAAATGATTACATTTTTCAATGATTACATTTTTGCTAAATTATACGCGAAATCGATGCCAAATGTTGAAATAATAACTTTGCGCTGGAAATGAATATTCACACTCGTGATGCAATTTGGTGTTCCACAGTGTAATTAAGAGATTAAATTCATCTAATATCATTAATAATAAGAATAATAATACTGTTACGCCCGTGCTTCGCGGTGTCTGCCAAGCATAAGTTGCGCCGACTGAAATCGTCCGCGGAAGCGGACAGAGAGTTGCTCCCTTAGCAACGTGTTGTTCGACGGGACTCTGAAATTGACGCAAGTTTGACATTTACGCTTTGGTGTATTAAGTGTTAATAAACCGTTGCAGTTCTTTTGTAAACGAGTGTGTTGTTCTTTTCCGCGCGAGTGTCACCGTCTTTGTCGCAGGCGCGAGTGCAATAGTGAGCGCGAGCGTAACGCCGTAACAATATACTTTATTATTACAACTATACATAGGAAGATAGAAAAAGAACAAAAGTAAGATAAAATGTTAAAAAAGTAGTGAGTACACGCAAAGAATGAGATATCAGCAAACTGCTGCTATTACAGTCTATCCGAAACAAAAAGAAAATAGCGCATAGTATATGAAACAAAATGAATATAACACATAGTGTATGATTAATGAGAGTGTAATATAATACCTTATATAATATGATTAATATGATTCGGTGTTGACACGATAATATAATGCGAAAAATTCAATATTTATAATAATATAACAAACGCAGATGACGAAAAAAACGATTAGTTGAGGAAGATGGCGAGTATGAGGAAGATGGCGATGCAATGAAGTAAAAGGCTGCAGCGCAAAAAGAAACTATAAGGGAGAAGAATATTTTATGGAAGGAGGATTTTAATTTGTTGTAGTATTTTACTAACACGTAGGAAAAGACAGCGCGGAATTTTGGTACAGTAGAGGAGTGATGAGAAGGAATTAAAGGATAGAAAATCGCGGTAACGGGTATCAATTAGGGTATTTGAAGAACAAAGCTCAGAATTTAAACACAAAAAATGTCGCAAATAAGGAAAAGTATTGGAACGGAGCTAAGAAACAAAAAATAAGGTAGCACAAATGGAGAACAAAATGTTGCTTGATATTTAGTCAATGAGAGTTACAATAAAGAGATGTTATATATATATATATAGTTATGAATATAGTAGGAAAAATGAAGAAATTTTGGATGTATTGCAGTGTAGACAGCAGCTGTTCCGAGCTGGAACATAAACAACATCTGTATAATCAAAGAGAGAAATCATTACGTAGCGCAATTTATTATTAGAATTCTAGCATTTTAATTGAAATTAAATGTATTATTATTAGCAAAAGCATTATAAAAAGATATTTGTTGACTTATTGTACAAATCATATTTCAATGTTTATAAAATTCACAGAAATATAACTCTAATACATTTTAAATGCTGAAATCCATCTCTCGTGGTGTCGGTAATATTGCAGTAAATATGTCATAGTTGATTGTCGTGATATCAAATAAACGTATAAATTAAGAAGTAAGAAGTGAATGCACCGCGGTGCTGTCACGAGGAAAGGCTTTTGTTATCGCTGGATAATTTTTCCATCTTTGTTAAAATCTACGAGCACGAAGATATTTCTTTACGTATTGTATTTACATAGAGTATAGATAGATCAAGCATACCATAAGAATACATATTTGCCAGGCACTGGTTT